TTGGATGACAAATTAAAATATAATGATTATGGATCAAAGTCCAGCTGCAAAAATACTAATTTATTGTCATTTTAAGTCTTTAATCATTCAAATTTTGTACAATGTTGACACTTGAAGATTTTATTAAGTACAGGTCTGAAAAAGTGTGCTGATTTGTTTGTACTTCAAGTATCTGCAATTGAATTGAATTTCATCTTTGAATGACCCATATGCCATTTTTCAAATAATTTGAAAAATAAACACTTTACTTTTATTTATTTACCTTCAATTGCCTTCAATATTGGTGATGTTTCTGGTATTAGCCATATTAAAATATAATCACACCTTAAAAAAGGATTCATTGGTTAATTTTAGTTAATGTATTTACTAACATAATCAACAATAACTTTAAAGCATTTATTAATCATATTAATTATTAATTAATCAATTAGTCCAGCATTTACTGATGAATGAATAAAATCCAAATTCATGCCTGTTATCATTAGTTAATGCACTGCGAGTTAACATGAACTAACATCAGCAAAGATTAATGCAGACAGTTTTCATGTTCACCATAAATACTCTTTGTAATAAAACCATATTTACCAAAATATATTTCTGAATCAGACATCATTAAATATGCTGTTTCTACAGGAACTAGTAGTGCAGAAAGGCTGGCGTTTACCTGAATACACCGTCACTCAAGAATCTGGTCCTGCACACCGCAAAGAGTTTACAATGACCTGCAGGGTGGAGAGATTTGTAGAGATAGGTAAGATTCTGTGCTAGTTCTTTTCAAATATGAAATCCATTCAAAGTCAAACCTGCCTTAATTGAGCTGAGTTGTGTTGAAGGAAGTGGCACATCAAAAAAGCTTGCTAAAAGAAACGCAGCAGCAAAGATGCTCTCTCGTATTCACGATGTGCCGGTGGACATGAGAAGCAGCCACGAGGCCGAAGCAGAAGATGACACCTTCAACATGGTGATTTACTCAGGATTATTATGCTGTAAGTATAGTATGATTTCAGAGATTTAACCATCTGAAATACTCCACAGCAAATTGGTGGCAGACTGGAGGGAGGGAAGTCTAAAGGCCTGGGCTGCACATGGGACTCTCTGAGGAACTCTGCTGGAGAAAAGATCCTGCAGTTGCGCTGTCATCCTCTGGGCCAGTCTGACTCCATCGACTCCAATTTCTGTTCGCTCCTTCGTGAACTCTCTGAAGAACAGCGCTTTGACGTCAGCTATCTGGACATAGGTGAGATACATTTACAAAAAAAAATCCAAGAAAGGTTTTACTTGATCTATTATAACCACATAAATTACCCTTGAATAAGAAGCTTCATTTTGACCATATTTGGAAGGGTCGTGAATACAAAAGTGCTTGCCCACACATTTAAAGCAGCATTTGATACAAATGAGCGTCATATATATGGATGATAATACAGCTGACATTTTTATTGTGAATGAGTTTACTGTGTGTGCTCACATTCTGAAGTCGTATATAAACATGTACTATCTTTTGGGCTTTGTTCATTCAGAGGAGCGCAGTTTGAGTGGCCTATATCAGTGTCTGGTGGAATTATCCACACAGCCTATTACCGTCTGCCATGGATTTGCTTCCAGTCTGGATGCGGCTCGTGCCAGTGCTGCTCACAATGCCCTGCAGTACCTCAAGATCATGGCAGGAGGGAAATAAGGCACGGAAACAGCTCACCTGTTACTTTTTCTTTTTTTTTTTTTGCTCCCAAGTGGAAAATTGGACATTTATCAGGTGAATTTAAGCTTAACTGTTTTTTGTTTGACGCAGTAGGTGTACTTTAATGATCTGCTGCTACCCGATGTGAACCCAGTCGGAGGACGTACTGATTGCTTAATTGTCTCCTTAAATTGGACACCTCATTTCATTCCTCAGTGCATCCAAAGAAAGGCAGGGGGACTCTGCTCATTTGAAACCTGAGGACAAGGGTGTCACATGCAGTTAAAACATTCTCAAAATCATTCATGTCTCAGCAAAAACCCGAACTTTGCCCTAAAAACTTCATCTTCAAAATCTCCCTATTTGCTTTTTCATTTAAATTATGATATTGTTAATTGCTCTATGAACTTGATCATTATTTTTAACTGTGTAAATGTTTGACTTTTGTACACTGTGTTTTATTTTAAATGAAGTTATTTTTTGCCATTAGTTTTGCCTCATGGAATTCATAAAATGTAATTATATATTTTTCCTCATGGCCATTGAATCTAGAATAATAACATGGACCAGAAGGTTTGTGATAAATATCTACCTCCTTGTATGTGTTGCTGCCTCTTCATCACTGCATCTGGAGTATTTAAGACTAATGAAGTATATTTGTTGATTCTGACAACTAATTTGTACTAAATTTGTTAGTCTGTAATCTAGTGGGTATTTTATCTTCAACAATAAACTTTTTGAAACCAACTCTCTTGTGTACTGATTTTGGCAAATTGCTCATTTAGCAAATTCTTTGTCCTAGATAAAAGTAGAGTATTTGTATGAAGAGAATGTGTTGCAATGTCCTTACTACACCTCAAGGGGGCAGTATAGTTGGTATTAAACATCTACACTCACCGGCCACTTTATTAGGTACACCTGTCCAACTGCTCGTTAATGCAAATTTCTTATCAGCCAATCGCATGGCAGCAACTCAATGCATTTAGACATGGTCAAGACGATCTGCTGTAGTTTAAACGGAGCATCAAAAATGGGAAGAAAGGTGATTTAAGTGACTGAACGTGGCATGGTTGTTGGTGCCAGACGGGCTGGGTTGAGTATTTCAGAAACTGCTGATTCACTGGGATTTTAACACAACCATCTCTAGGGTTTACAGAGAATGCCCAAAGACGACACTAGGTGCTACTTCTGTCAGCCTAGAACAGGAAACTGAGGCTACAATTCGCACAAGCTCAACTAAATTGGACAATGGAAGATTGGAAAAACGTTACCTGGTCTGATAACTCTCGATTTCTGTTGGGACATTCGAATAGTAGGGTCAGAGGCTGGCATCAATGAAAACATGGATTTATCCTGCCTTGTATCAACAGTTCAGGCTGCTGCTGGTGGTGTAATGGTGTGGGGGTGTTTTCTTGGCACACTTCGGGCCCATTAGTACCAATTGAGCATCCTGTCAATGCCACAGCCTACCTGAGTATTGTTGCTGACCATGTCCATACCTTCATGAGCACGGTGTACCCATCTTCTGATGGCTACTTCCAGCAGGATAACACGCCATGTTATAAAGTTTAGTCTCAGACTGGTTTCTTGAACATGACAATGAGTTCACTGTACTCAAATGGCCTCCACTGTCACCAAACTCCACCTTTGGTATGTGGTGGAACAGGAGATTCACATCACGGATGTGCAGCCGACCTATCTGCAGCAACTGCGTGATGCTATCATGTCAATATGGAGAAAAACCTCTGAGGAATATTTCCAGTACCTTGTTGAATCTCTGTTACGAAGAATTAAGGCAGTTCTAAAGGCAAAATGGGATCCAACCATATACTAGTATAGTGTACCTAATAAAGTGGCCGGTGAGTGTAGGTCAATAGTTGACATATAAATGTTTACACTACAACATCATGTTCCCTAATGGTTTAATAAAAGCTTTTAAGACCTATACAAAAAGCCTGAAGTTGAGCAAATAAAGTGAGTGTTTTATGAACAAAAGTTCTGCATTTAGATCCTTAACCATTCTATAAACTCCATAATTCAAATAAATTATTTATTAACATCGTAGAATGACAAATGCAATACATACCGCAGTTCATTTGTAAAGAATAACACCAGAAAGTGCACATAGTGAGAAGCCTATTGCAAACAAAATCAAATCTTGATGTTAATTTTCATCAGACTGTTGTTTCAAACATTAAAAGCAACATGAAAGCAGCATTCATTAGTGTGTTCACACTTGGCCGCTTTGGCTCAACTGAAACTCGGGTGTAAATGCTCTGCTAGTGAAGTTCATCTGAACAAGACTGCAGTCATCCGTAACTTGCCATGTGTTTCTGAAGCATGCTATAGTAATGTGCCTGGCATTCACAATGGCACTTTTAGTACACTCCTGGGTTCATTTAGCTAAAGTGAACCCATCCGATGTCTTCCGTGTACCCGTGAACTAAACCCAAGCCTGGGCTTTTGTGCAGTTCATGCAAACCGGCATGGTTTACTTCACTTGTAAACCCATTCAAACTTGTATCATCCAGGCAATGGAACCAAGTGTGTAAACATGAAGTGTATTATTTTCTTTTGCTCTAAAGTGCACCGATTAAAAAAAAGTGTGAACACCCTAAATGGCTGATCACACCAAGCACAATAACAGTAAAGACAGAGTTCCATAAATCATACTGAATGTAAAACAACAGCAGAGTTCAGACCACAACTATAACAATAAAGAGATTTAGAAAATAACTTTCAGAGCTGATAAACAATGAGTTCACACCATTTAGAGCCACAGAGGACATTGTGGAGAAGCTTACTGCTTGATGTTGCACTCTCTGCTCGAAGATTATTCATAGATATTGACTATGCAGAAAACAATTGGTTATATTATGCGAAAAAATGTTCAAAATAAAGGCATTTATTCAAGTCAGGCTGGCAAATTAAAAAGAAAATTATATAAAAATAAAAGTAACTCGGGTCTCCAGGGCTAGTTTCAGCGTCTTTGTGTTCAATCCTTTAAAAAAAGCTGAAAAAAATCACTAGTTGTTTTTATTCCGCAACACTGAATACCACAGCTAAGTTCGTTATTAGGTTAATCATCCATTCATTATCCTTCCGCTTAGTCCCTTATATATCAGGGTTGCCACAGCGGAATGAACTATTCCAGCATATGTTTTACACAGAGGATGCCCTTCCAGCTGCAACCCAGTACTGGGAAACACCCATACACTCTCACATTCACATGCACTTTTACACTATGGTCAATTTAATTCATCCAGTTCACCTTTAGCGCATGTCTTTGAACTTGTGGGGGAAACCGAAGCACCCGGAGGAAACCCACGTAATCACAACATGCCAACTCCACACAGAAACCCCAACTGGCCCAGCCGGGACTCGAACTAGTAACCTTCTTGATGTGAGGCAGCTGTGATAACCAGTGCCACCTTATATTAATCATTTTGTACTAGTAGCTCAGATGTACTAGTAGCACATTGCGGACATTTGCTGGTTGCACGGGGTTGTTAAATTAATATTCATAGCTATCATGCTTGGTGTGAACAGGCTTCAATTCTGTACATGCTTCTGGTCTTATTCAGCAGTTACTATTAAGTTAACACAATCAATTCCTTATGGGTGAAACCACTCGAACACCCTTCCATGTTGACCTGAACAGCATTAGTAGACATGCTCTGTGCTTCTTCATTAGTCCAAGTTCTGATGTTACGTTTTCTCCAGGCTGGAGTGGGACTGTTGTGCTTCCTCTTCTACATATCCACTGCTGTCTGATTGGAAACTGTCCCCTCGGAGAGGCAACGCTGAGGAAAAACAATCAACACATTAGAAAACTGCTGAATTTAGCCAGTCAAAACACATTTAGGAGACACTTTAATAATTCTGACTTATATATACTGTTATACATATATGGTAGAATTTTTGTCTCTGTGTTTTTTTTTACCCCAATTTCTGTTTAACAGAGAGAAGATTTTTTTTCAATACATTTTTAATCATAATAGTTTTAGCAACTCATTTCTAATAACTGATTTATTTTATCTTTGTCATGATGACAGGACATAATATTTCACTAGATATTTTTCAAGACACTTCTATAGAGCTTAAAGAGACATTTAAAAACTTAACTAGGTTAATTAGGCTAACTAGGCAGGTTAGGGGAATTAGGCAAGTTATTGTATAACGATGATTTGTTCTGTAGACAGTCGAAAAAATATAAAACTTAAAAGGGCTAATATTTTTTATCTTAAAATGGTTTTAAAAAATTAAAAACTGCTTTTATATGATGTCACCTGTTAATTGTTTGTTGTCTGTTAAATGTTCATGTTAACTCACAGTGCATTAACTAATGTTAATAAGCACAATTTTGGATTTTAATAATCTATTAGGTAATGTTAAACTTTGATAATAAATGCTTTACAAGATTGTTCATACTTAATGTTAATAAATACATTAAGTATCATTAACTAATGGACCATTATTCTTAAGTGCTACCCACTTTTCTGATTCAGTGGACAACGATGATAATGTGCAGATTTCTTTGAGACTTCCTGTTAGGTTATTTCCCTGAAACATTCTAGTGATAACGCAGACAAGATCAGCTGGACTTGTGTTTTACTGCATGCAATGTGTTTTTAACAAGTCGTCTCAACACCTCCCTTTCTCACCACATTAACACATGCTGCTTTCTGTTAATTTGTTAAAGCCATTGTGTGTATTTTTGGTGATAACGCTGCCTGGCTGTTTAACCGCTGTTCAGCTGACTTGTTTTTACTAAACTGATATAGAATTAGTCAAATTAGTGGCTGAAATTTGCCTCCTGAATTCTAACTGTGTCAAAGGCTACTGGTGTTACTTACATTTGTTATGCTGTGGTGAGACGGATAATGTGACAGCAGAGCAGAATTCTGATGAAGTGGCTTCCTCTTCTTCTGCACTGTGAACCTGAATGAAAAACCCAAGGCTTAGTGAACACAATTCAAAACTATGGACCCATACATTTTTACACAGTTGGGGGGATAACGCACAGTGGATTTTTTCACCAAAACTCAGTGTGCGAATTATACATTGACGATCGGGGTTAGTTAAAATGTTAGTTTGTGTAATACATGCTTCAGTGAATTAAATGTACAGAATGTGTTTATTTAAGTGACATCTAATTTATTCATGAAATGTATTTAAGTTTTTAGTGTTTTGTGGGATAGGCTGGTGTATTCTGACCTGATTAGCTCTTCGGCTTATTTTAAGACAAACAATGCATCTAATTTGACATTACTTTTAGGCAATATGTAGAAACAAACACCTATTTTATGAGAAGAAGTGGTTTCTCCATGTCTTCTGAACTCTTACAGTGTCTATAGGTGCTCTAAATCTGCTGGTTTCTGACTGTTGACTTTTTTCTCGCATGGACTGATCCTAATGGTATGAACTGTTGTAGGGGTGGTCAAAATGATGCTTTAATTATCAACACTATTATTTAAAATACAGATCAGAGTTAACTTTTTTCTCAGTTTCAGGGGGATTAAGCCTCAATAAGGAGGGTCAATTCCACCCAAAACCCTATAATTCACACCATGACTAAACAAACTGCCTTGAAGCTAGACATAGGCGTAGCAGACATTTTAATTGTGTGTGTGTGTGGGGGTGGGTGTGTGGGGTGAGGGGGTCAGCTGAATGAGATCCAAAATGTTATGTTCACTTGATTATTAATCACCTGTTTCTAAATGATTTGTCTTTTAGAGTGAGGGGGACGTATCCCCCACCCTGCAGCTAGGTGCTTATGCTATAAAGCACATAAATAGCACATAAATACATAAAAATGGGTGAGATATACTCTCGTTGACCACATTATTATGTACTCTTTGCGAGTATTGCGTTGGACTCATTGGTCGCCTTCAGATCTACCTTAATTATTTGTGGCAAATATTCAATACTGGAAACATTTCTCAGAAATTCTGACATATCCATGTTGGCATGCTAGCACTGCACAATTAGCAAAGTGTGCTACCAAAAAAAAAAAAAAACTTTTAACAAAGCAAGAATTTAAACTCATTAATTTATTACGAAATGTGGTGTACATTTTTAAACTAACTGCCTTAATGCTAGCTGCTAATATTGTCTTTTTAAAAACTTTCTTAATGCTAGGTGCTAATGTTATGCACTTGCTAAGGTGTGCTTTGTCATTTTTAAAACATAGCTTAGTCACAGAAGCCAATTCAAGAATTTAAAGTAATTTATTTTTTGGGGAATATTGTGTATGTTTTTTAAAACTAACTGCCTTAATGCTAAGTGCTAATGTTATGCACTTGCTAAGTTGTGCGTTGCCATTTTTAACACATAGCATGGTCAAATGATCAAATCCAAGAATTAAAACTCATTTATTTATTAGGAAATATGTTGTATTTTTTAAACTAACTGCCAAAATGCTTTGCAGCTAGAAGGGCATTCACTGCGTAAAACATATGTTGGATATGTTGGCGGTTCATTTCACTCTGGCGACCCCAGATTAATAAAGGGACTAAGCCAAAAAGAAAATGAATGAATGAATGAATGAATGCCATAATGCTAGGGGCTAATGCTATGCAATTGCTAAGGTGTCCTTTGCCATTTTTAAAACATAGTTATGTCAAATAATTCAACCTAAGAATTTAAAGTCATTTATACACTTAGCACATAGATACAGAAATGGGTGAGATATACTTGCTGACCACATTATTATGTACTCTTAGCTTTAGACTCACTTTTGCCTTCAGTTCTATCCAAATTATTTGTGGTAAATATTTAACAAGGTACTGGAAACATTTTTCAGAGATTCTGACATATCCATATAGGCACGATAGCAATGCACAATTAGCAAAGTGTGCTAATAATAGTTTAAGACCACCAGAAGCCTAATAAACAGCAGGACGGATTTGTGGTTTTGTGTTGTTTACACCAAATACTGGCTTTCCATTTTCAATCTTTCAATTTTAGTGAGTGAATTTTAGCCTCAGTTTACTGTTTTTAGCTGCCAGGAATATCACTGTGTTCTTCTGATACTGTAGCTCATCTGCTTCAAGGTTAAATGTGAGTTCCGAGATGCTCTTCTGCAGACTTCGCTTGTAACAAGTGGTTATTTAAATGACTGTTTCCTTTCTATCAGCTCAGTCGGAACATTCTCAATTGGCCTTTCCCATTTCCACCAACAAAGCTACCATATATTGGATATTTTCTATTTTGCTGACTATTCTCCGTAAACTACAGAGATGGCTGTATTTGAAAACCCTTGTAAATCGGTTTCCAAAATTCTTAGAATAATTCCATCCAGGACTATCAACCATGCCACATTAAAATCACTTTAGTCACTTTTTTTTCTCATTCTGATGCTCAATTTGAAATTTAATATAGATTTGTCCTTGAATACGTGCCTAAATGTACTGAGTTGATGTCATTTGATTGGCTGATTACACATTTAAATTAGCCCGTGTTTATAATAAAGTGGCTGCAAAATGGAAACCGGAAGCTTAAAAGGGCAGTCTACTTTCTGTGTTTTACAGGAGGGTTAGTAAAGGTTTACAAGATACTTATTTTAGGTTGAATTGTTTCTTTATGGCACTAATCTCAAACTCAATTCCCGAAGGGCAACAGCTCTGTACAGTTTAGCTTTAACCACCTCCAACTCACACCTGCTTAACAATCTCTAGTAGTCATGAACACCTTGATTAGTTGGATTAGCTTTGCTCGATTAGGGTTGGAGTAAAACTGTGCAGAGCTGCGGCCCTCCAGGAATGCAGTTTGAGACCTATGCTTTATGGTTTGGGGGGTTGTTCATATATCTGCCCTGAAGTATGAGAAACAGTATTGATAACAATCTTAATACATGGCAATAAGCTGCATTTATAATAAAGATCTATGCAGAGGTGGAACACAGAGAGGAAGTTTGGAGGAGTTATTCTTTAGTAATGACGGCTAATGGGAGAATCTGTGTAGGCAAGCATTTGCTCTTATGTAAAAAAAAAAAAGATAAGAGATAACAAACCTCTTCCAGCTCAAAGGAGTTGCCTTGCTTGTTCAGGTTTGGTGGTTTTACTGGAGTTAAATAGCTGTTGATGTTGGCTGAACACTGCTCCTGTGTATTGAGGAAGGTGGTGTCATCCTCCCATCCAGTGATTGTGATCTGACATAATGACTTGGGTACGTTCATAGAATTTGATTGTCTTACAGAGGGTGTATTTGTTGCCTGGTGTGCCTGGTGTGAGTCTTTGGCATCCACATTATTTGTGTACATGCAGCGATAAGGTGCCTGTTTCACATATTCAACAACCTGAGGGCAAATGATATCATGGGTGATGATAGGAACTGGTTCCACATTAACTCTAGATCTGTTCATGTGAACAGAATCAACATTACAACCTTTGGACTTCTTGTCCATGTCCGTTTTTGGCTCCAGGCATGGTGTACACTCTTCTAATCTGTGTCTGTGCTTGTGTACATTTTCACTTGTCATCCCAGATAGTGACTCACAAGGTATAGGCTCAGAGTAATCAGTCCTTTCAGTGTTTTCTTCACAAGTCCTATTGTTAAGTTCTGTCCTGCTGTCTATAAACCAGTCTAGGTTTTGGTCCAAATAATCTACTTCCATTTGAAGGCATAAATCTTGTTCGGTGTCATCATTATTATTTTCTGCACTCTTCTCCACAACACCTGAGAGACTACTTTTACGCTTTCGGGGTGAGTTGTTTGGAGGCGTAGAGTCCGAACCACGAGATCCTGTATACAAGCACATCTTGGAGATAGTGTCTTTTAGTCTTTCAACAGGGGAGCGTGGTTCACTGCGGACACTGTTTCGAGACCTTGACCTCTCCACAATTGGGGAGGTGAAGGTTAACTGGGGCGGTGCGAGCTTTTGGAGTGGTGTTCGGGACACATGGGAGTACAACGAGTAGAAGGCGTTCGCCATTGCCGTCAATGCTTCTACTTGTCGGAAACGACCTGCATGAGAACCAGAGATGAAGGTGAGCAAACGTGCAAAAAAATCCATCTAAAGATGTAGAAGAAGACTGTATTCTGTAATTTTGGTCACACTTTATATTAAGTTCCCTTAATTAAAGTATGTACTTACACTGAAATTACACCTAAACCCACCCTTAAATCTACTCATACCACCAAACCTGCCCCTAACCCAATCCGTATCCCACCAGAAGTGTTCTTCAATACATGAAGTACATTGTATTTATTCTTTGATGCAGGTACATAGTATTTAAAGGCCACTTAGTGCGAGGGTAATTTCTTACTTGCTAATGAAAGACAGGGGTCTTCCTGGCGTATTCTTGAGAGCTGGGATTCGAGGAACAAACGGAAGTTAATGCCTCGGAGCTGGGACGGAAAGTTGAAGAAGCGGACTGGGATGCGAGCGGTCACTTGTGGTTCCTCGCAACCAAAACCCAACTGGAAAAGGGTTTCCTCTGCATCTTCTGCACGCATCTGAAGGACCTCAGACAAACTGATGGGTTTTTGAGATGTCATGAAAGACAAAAGCAAAGTTAAAGTGAATAAGAGACTTCAGGTTTAGGTGCGCAAAATTTATGACCACTAAATCATTCACAAAGCCCTACATATTTTTTGAGTTCCTATTATACACATTTAATGAGTATTTTGCATGATTGTATAACATTTTTAGACACCAACAGGAGTAAAGTACACCACCTGACAAAAGTCTTGTCACCTATTCAAGTTTTAGGAATAACAAATAACAACTTAACTTCCAGTTGATCATTTGGTATCAAAAATGGCTTATATGAAAGACCAAGAGTTCTAAATTACGCTTATTTTGCCAAAATTAAATAAGTGCTTAAACAAAAGTCTTGTCACTTAACAGATATAATGTACAGTATAGAATATAAAGTCATGGTGCAGTGGAAAAAGAATTATGTATGACTCCCATGAGCTTGGACAACTGCATTCATACATCTCTGCAATGACTCAAATCACTTATTAATAAAGTCTGGAATGGCAAAGAAAGCATTTATGCTGGACTCCCAGAGTTCATCAAGATTTTTTTGGATTCATCTTCAATGCCTCCTCCTCATCTTACCCCAGACATGCTCAATAATGTTCATTTCAGGTGACTGGGCTAGCCAATCCTGGAGCACCTTGACCTTCTTTGCTTTTAGGAACTTCGATGTGGAGGCTGAATAATGAGGAGCGCTATCCTGCTGAAAAAATTGCCCTCTTCTGTGGTTTGTAATGTAATAGGCAGCACAAACGCCTTGATACCTCAAGCTGTTGATGTTGCCATCCACTCTGCAGATCTCTCGCACACCCCCATACTGAATGTAACTCTAAACCACGATTTTCATTAACCAAACTAGACTGATTTCAGTGAGAATCTTGGGTTCATGCAGGCTCCAATCAGTCTTCTGCAGTTTTTGTGATGATTGGGATGCAGATCAACAGATTATTCATAGGAAAAATCTACCTTCTGCTACATTCAAATTTGTTGCTCTTACAACGGATTGACGACAAGACTTTTGTCATATAGTGTGTCAATCCAAAAATTCTTGTTAATTTTAAAAATGAACAGTGCTGAAAATTGTAAAAAGATCAGCGTTTTGTTTTTACTAACACAGGAAGCCACATATTCCATGTAACAGGTTATTAGCACTATGTCATCTTATGGTCATGCTAATTATAATTTGACTTCCTTAGAAGCACAAATAAATCTTGCGCAAAAAAGCAAAGTGTTCATTGTTTTCCGGTATGGGAGAATATTCATTCAACAGGACAGCAGAATCCATTATTATTTAGTCTACCTCACCCATGCCCTTACCTGGAAGCGGTCCTGGCAGTAGTGGTAGAGAAAGCGCTGGAAGCAACACTTTGACCCATGCTGTACAATGGCAGGTTAAGCTTCTGTTGAGGTGTGCTGTTCATACACAAACAGTTCATTAAATACAACAACTGAAAAGATTTAGAAGCAAAATTGAGCAATTCTGAGCCAGAGAGAAGTTAATGGTACAACAAATTCAACGTATTTCTTACCTAAATTGTTGCGCACTTGATGAGGCATATAATCCAGTGGCTGTGAAATAAATGTTAGAAGATATAAGAAGATTAAAAACACTGATGCGTTTTAACTTTAAGAGATAACAGAGAGGTGTGTCAAAAATGTCAAACAAAATCCTGAAAATTGAGACAAAATACAATTTAATCTTTGATAAATAACATTTTAACATACAGTTGAAAGCAGAAGATTACATACACTGTATAAAAAGGCACATGACCATTCAAAAAAAAAAAGTCAGATGTTAATGTGACAAAACTTTTTCTCTATTAGGCAAGTTAGGATTATCAAATTTGTTATGGTTAATAGCAGAATAATGAGAGATAACTTTTGATAAATTGTTATAACTTTTCTTTAAAGTCAAGTTTACATACAATAAGATTATTATGCCTCTGAAAAAGCTCAGATGATGATGTCAAGGTTTTGGAAGTTTCTGATTGGCTAATTGACAACATTTGAGTTACTGGAGGCACAACTGTAGAACAGTATTTAAGGAAAACCTCAAACACGCTGCTTCCTTGTGTGAAAATCAACAAGCCAGAATCAACAAAAAAGCCAGATTACAGTTTGCTAAATTACACTGGGAAACAGACTAATGTTTGGGGACATGTCCTGTGGTTTGATGGAACTTAAATTGAACTGTTTGGCCTTAAAGACTAGTGTTACATTTGGAGGACAAAGGTGAAAGCTTACTAGGAACACCATCCCAACTGTGAAGTATGAGGGCGGCAGCATCATGTTGTGGGGCTGTTTTACTGCAGGAGGGACTGGTCCATTTCACAGCATAGATGGCATCACGAAGAAAGAACATTATGTAGAAATACTAAAGCAACATCTCAAGACATCAGCCAGGAAATTAAAACTTGGCCACAAATGAGTCTTCCAAACAGACCATGACCCTAAGCATACTGCCAAATTAGTTAAAATGTGCTTTAAGGACAACAGAGTGAATGTTTTAGAGTGGCCATCACAAAACCCTGATCTCAATCCTATGGAAAATTTGCTGGCAGAGTTGAAAAAGCTTGTGCGAGCAAGACAGCCTACAAATCTGACTCAGTTACACCAGTTCTGTCAGGAGGAATGAGCCAAAATTCCTTTAAACTATTGTGAGAAGCTTGTGGAAGGATATAAAAACATCTGACCAAAGTTTCACAATTTAAAAGCAAAGCTAAAAAATAGCAAGGAAATGTATGTAAACTTTTGACTGTCTAGAAATTTAAAAAAAAAATCTCATTATTCTGGCATTTAGCAAATGTAAATCATTTAGGTAATCCTAGTGGACCTAAAATAGTAAACATTTAGTATGATTTACCATCAGACATTTAAAAACAATGGTTATGTTCCTTTTTTTTAGAGTGTATGTAAACTTCTGGTTTCAACTGTAAATTCAGATAAAATCTCTGTTTTTGCTGTATTTTTAGCAAATAAAAAACTACAGTGAGCATAAGGGACTTCAAGAATACAAACAAACACACACACACACACACACACACACACACACACACACACACACACACACACACACACACACACACACACACACACACACACACACACACACACACACACACATATATATATATATATATATATATATATATATATATATATATATATATATATATATATATATATATATATATATATATATATATATATATTAATTATATATCTACAGGCCCTAAACTTTAAAACTGAAGTGTGGCTATAAATAATGCATACTTTTTATTGTATGTGCTTCTGTAGGACACATTTAGTAATGTAACTATGTGCATCTGCCCTTGTGCTTGTGTTTCTGGAAATATAAACATGTTGTATTTGAGTTGATTATTATTATCTTAAACTTAAATGCAGTGCTGCCTTATACAGTATATTACTACAATCATCAGAGCCATTATAAGATTATTGCCAAAATTGAAGATGTCACTTTAAAAAAAAAACTTAAAAAGAGGAACAAAATTAAATTTTATTAGCACCTAGACAGAATTATCTGCAGACATGGACTATACTACCAGGGGGTTTGTTAACAAAGTAAAGTTCATTATTAGATTTTGGCAAATGTAAAACTATTAGTCTTGGAGCCAGCACTTTGAGAATCTATAATAAGCAGTGTTTGTTAAAGGTGATGTCTGTGTTCTTTCATGTCAACACACTAGACAGACTTCACCACTGTTTTAGTTTGTTGGCTTAAAAGATGTAATCAACAACTAGAAAATGCAAGCAACACAATAAAACATGCTAGTAACATCAGGGGCACCTACAGGATTTCATTCAAGGTACGCACATCGTCACCTATATACAATTATAAGGTTTTATCTGACATTTTTGTCAAAGTTGAGTTATTGACATGTTCTTATTGAATGACAACTTATTTATATTATAGGATGTTTTTTGTAAGTTGTTTACATTTTAACACTTTTTATTTAAAAAGACAAATGTTACACGCAAATTGTTTGCTATGGAATGCAAAAACTTTGAAGCGCAATATCTCAAAATCATTCAGAACGCAGATAGAACCGTATAATTCCAAGGTGACGACATATCCAGCACCACCCCATACATTCTTAATTAAATTTAAAAAAACGCATATGCTTGCTGTGAAAGGCTACATTATTTAAGAACATTCGTTACAACATTGATAGGATCAAACTTATGTTTCCTTTTTAATATTAAGATATTTTCTTTGAAATCTAAATGTATATTTTCCTAGCAGGGCTGCTTATACACTGCCTCACATGAACTTGCCATGAGTAAGACGGAGAAAATGAAAGCCCATCAGCACCGAGGAAAAATCAGATGCTCAAGAACTAATCTTTAAAATTATGATATATTAAACATTTTGTAAATATATGACAGAGGTTTGTGATACAACAATTACAGTGAAGCATTAGTTAAATCCTCTGCACTGAACGAAACAAGTGGATGGGTTCAAACAAAAGTTGAATTTGTATATTTTTCTTCAAAAAACATATTTTTGAAAAACAATTTTTTTTTCTATCATTTGTATCCTAATTTTAATCTATTTTATCTATTAGATATGTGCTTCAAAACAAGTCCACTATATGCTTCAGTGCCAAAACCAGAACTGGTTTATTAAATAATATAATAATCTAGCCTAAATAAAATTAAAGTGAAATATTCACAGTTTCATAGAAGCCTATATTAATTTTCACTAGTAATGACAAAAAACATTCATTGTGGTCAATTAAACTTTAACTCATGTAATCAAGTAATTTGAATAAGCAGGACAGGCGTTTACAAAGTATTCGCAGCAGCACTGAAGTGTTTCCATATTACCTCGGAAGAACAAATTCAGTTGAAACAGGGAGAGAACTCAGAAACTCATTGTGAGAATGGAGATGTCTGCATATTTGTGCCAGTCTGTCAGATAAAATTGTTTGAAACACCTTGAATGGTAGCGGTTCCATACGAGGAGGCTGGGCAGCTGGATCTAAACAGCCCAATGAAAAAGACACAGGCTGGGCCTGGAGTTCCCCCAGCTAATGAGACTGCGGTCTCCACCCCGTGTGGGGAGCAATACTACTCATTTTGAACCTTGTTTAAAACAATAGCTATCTGAATTGTAATTTTTAGTGTGCCAGCAAAACTAAAGACAATAGATTTATTTACCTATCTTTCACCAAGCAAGAACATACACACTTTAAAACACACAGCTTTATTTATTCTCATTCTTTCTTGCTTTGTCAATATATCATAGCGTAAACTGTTCAATAATCAATTTAAATAATGGTAGGTACACACAGTGTGTACAGCTGTATGGCTGCAGGTGCCTCTAAGTAACATGGTAGCAATGTGTTAGAGATGCTAACAACATGCGTTTACGCTAAAGCATGTTAGCTACATGTCAAAATAGAAACATTGTTATGAACCTGTCAGCAATGTTTTTTAACAAGCTAACAACATGCTACTCACATGCTAATAGTGTGCAGAAACAAAGCTACCAATGTTAACATATGCTGTAGTGACCATCTCAAACAGAATATCAAAGTAAACAGCTTACATCAAAAATACAGTCTGCTTGATATACAACACAACTACTATTTCAAGTAATTTTAGCTACTTTTTCAAACTGAACCCTTTCTGTCAGTCGAAATCAAAATGTCTTCTGGCTAACTTTTTAGCAAGCTACAGTAATTATAGCAGTTACAATTGCTATTGTGTAGCAACTACTCACCTTCTGCTCCCAGAATCAGATCATCCTCAAAGCTGACGCCTGTCCTCAAAGAGCCTGTAGACACATTTCCCAATGTTATCAAGATTTAGACAATTAGCAAAGATGTGCTCCATTATACTCAATAAACACTCACTGGTAAGTCTGCACAGAATATGAACAGTACAGAGACATTTTGAAAAAATAATTAAAAAATTGAACTTAACGAGAGGTTTTATGACCTAACAGCCGTTTTTTTTTAGCTATAAATCATCATTTTTATTTTATTTTGTTTTATTAGGTTTATCTTAGGTCAGACAGAAAAAAACAGTAGATAAAATCTCTCTCTCTCTCTCTCTCTCTCTTTCTCTCTCTCTCTCTCTCTCTATATAAATATATATATTCTCATAGATATATTAAACATGCTATAATAATCACGCACTAATACAATGCACCAAACAAGACATTATCAGGAAAACACAATTATACACTAAATAAGTATATAAATAATAAGGTAGGGGGGCAACACGATGGTGCAGTGAGTAGCACTGTAGCCTCAAAGCAAGAAGCTTGCTGGTTCGAGCCTTGGCTGGGTCAGTTGGCATTTCTGTGTTTGCATGTTCTCCCGTGTTCGTGTGGGTTTCCTCCGGGTGCTTCAGTTTCCCCCACAAGTCCAAAGACATGTGGTATAGATGAATTGGAAAAGCTAACTTGTCCATAGTGTGTGAGTGTAAATGAGAGTGTATGGGTGTTTCCCAGTGATGGGTTGCAGCTGGAAGGGCATCCGCTACGTAAAACATATGCTGGATAAGTTGGCGGTTCATTCCACTGTGGCGAGCCCTGATTAATAAAGGAACTAAGCCAAAAAGAAAATAAATGAATGAATGGATGAATGAGGGTTATCTTAGGTCAGACAGAAAACAACACTGTAAATAAAATATACATGATATTGATAAACTGTAAAAAAAAATTAAGCCAGTACAACAACAACTAAAAATATATAATTCTCATTTCCTTTTGATTTTTCTTGTTCTCTCAACTTTAGAAAACATCAGCTGCACTGACCTAAAATTATTTGTCAGTAATACATAAAATAAATATATAGTTGAGTTAACATAAGATTATCAGTTTTCTGGAGAGGTGAACTACTTTGTAACAAAACTTTTTAAGTTTTGCCAATTTAACATTTTTGTCTGCAGAACTGGAATGCTTAAAGTTGAGTGAAAAAAAAAACCCAATCAGAGATTTTTTTGAGCAAACCTGCAAAGTTTTGCTCACAAAACTAATCTTTTTAACTTAATGCAAAACATTTTGATTTAGGTTAATGCTAAATGTAGTTGTACAGACATTTTTACTGATTTTTGCCAAACCAAAAAAAGAAGTAATTTCAACTTTTTTCAAGTTGGATTTTTTACAGCATACATATACATTTATAAAACATGACATAAAAATCACACACTGATTCACCAGACAAGGAATTATCAGCAAAACCTAATTATACACTAAATAAGTATATAAATAATAACAAAGTATGACATATGCACAAAAATATACATACATAAGATACCATGAAAATAAATAATAAAATAAAATAATAAAATAATAAATTAATGTAATAATAATAATAATAATAGTTGTTGTTGTTGTTGTTGTTGTTGTTGTTGTTGCCTCCAGACTTTCTGGAACTGTTCTGGCTTGTGTTGTATTGCAAACCAAATCTTTTGCATCCTAAGAGTGTGTAAAGAACCCAAAAACCCATTGCTTATAAGAAGGCGGAACAGCTGACTTCCAAGTAAAGTAGGCAGCAAAGTTACTCAATCATCATTCATTCATTCACTTTCCTTCTGCTTAGTCCCTTTATTCATCAGGGGTTGCCACAGCAGAATGAACCGCCAACCATTCCAGCATATTTTTCACACAGCAGATGCCCTTCTAAAAGCAACCCAGTACTGGGAAACATCCATACACATTCATTCACACACAAACACTACGGCCAATTTCGTTTATTCAATTCACCTAGACCACATGTCTTTAGACTGTGGGGGAAACCGGAGCACCCAGAGAAAACCCATGCCAACATGGGAAGAACATGCAAACTTCATACAGAAACACGAACTTATCCAGCGACCTTCTTGCTGTGAGGCGACAGTGCTAACCACTGAGCCACCATGTCGGCCCTCTTAAATCATTATGTTTAATAGTATTTACTACAGTATATTACATTTTATTTAAAAATCATCATGTAAAATGTGAAAAAGTGCACTGATTCTGTGTAGGCCTAATCATTGCATGTATAAAAACAGCATATTAAAAAAAAAACTCTCTAAAGAAAGTTTTAATCATAATCGAAACTCTTATCTTGCCCTCAACCTACCTGCTAGGTGAATGCTTTTGGCAGGGCTGGCTTCACTCCTACAGATAAGATGGAGAAGAGAAAAAAAAATGAAACAAACAAAATCACTTTTATCGAGTCTGAATCAGCAAAGGTGTGTGGGCGGGCTGCGGCATGCTGTAAAATACTGCGCCGAAAATAGAAACTCACATAGGACATCTTTCAATTCTGGTGGTAGAACATACTGGTAGTACATTCTGTCCATTTAACTAATGTCAGGATGATAGAATATTGAATATTTTGCTGCTCGTCACAGAGATATTACTCACTGTGTGGATTCTGTTCTGTCACATCTGGCAACTGCTGCTGTTAATGTGATTTACTTCAGTATTCTCTTCAGACGAGACTATTGATAATATAGGACGCCTCGAGCCCCTTAGTGCTTTTATAAAACAGTGACCACACAATACATAGAAACATTATTTGCATATTACATGCAAATATACAGTTGAAGTCAAAATTATTTTTAACTTTTTTATTTTCACCCAAATTATGTTTAACAAAGCAAGAAATCTATCCCAGTATTTCCTATAATGTTTCTGCAGAAAGTCTTATTTGTTTAATTTTGGCTAGCATAAAAGCAGTTATGATTTAAAAAAAAAAAATGTATGTCAAAATTATCAGCCCCTTTAAGCAATATTTTTTTTGATTGTCTACAGAACAAACCATTGCTATGCTCTGACTTGCCTAATTACCCTAACCTGCCTAACTAACCTAGTTAAGCACTTTAACCACTGTGTGGTGTTCGTAATTTGGATACTCACCCAGTGTTCATGGGTCTGGTGGACCCGCTAGAGTTTTGGTTTTCCAAATTAACACTATCAAACAATTTCATGTTAAATTACTCAACAAATGTTTACTTAATCCCAATTACAAGCCATATGCACAAACATGGTTAATTTTTCCCCTCTACCTTAGTTAGATCATATTGATGAATTAATGTGCCTCTCTGTTTTTTTTTTAATATTATTATTTTATTAATGTTATGAAAAAAAATAATAAAACCCACAGATTTGTTTTTTCTTATTATTACTTTTATTGACATTGTGTATCTGGAAATGTCCACTGCTCGCATCCATGGTTTAAGAGAGGACATCATCAAACTTTGGGCACAAACCTTGAACAAACTTAAAGGTTAACAAGTTTGAATCAATGATGAGACATCAAAAAGCAGAAACTTCTGGTTCCAGGCCCCATTTGAATTAATTTTTAATTTTTATATTTTTATTATTGTAATTTGTTTTTAATTATATAACGTTTTTCATTTATTTTCCATCTTTATTAATTTGATCTTTTTTTCCCATTTTATAGTAATTAAGGTTCACTGTTTGGGCTTCTATTAACTTTTCTTCATTGTCGTAGACATTTCAGCATGGTTTTGAATACCTATTTCTATTTGTGTATTACCATTCTTCTAATTATTTACTTTTAACTGGCTTAATTTTACCCTTACTTAACTCTAAATACAGACTTGGCTTATTGCTTTTTTTGTTTGGAAATTGGTTTTGTGTATGCATTTAAGTGTTTATGTGTATGTGTATTTGTATGTATGTATTTGTATGTATGCACTATTATTAATACTATTATTAACAACCTGTATATTGGTTATTACATGTATATCTATGCACTTTGCTATATGATGATTGTCTACGGCATGTATTTCTGTGTTCAAAAAATACAAAAGAAAAAGAAAAATTTGACAGAAAAAAAAACTAAAATTACTAAATAATTTACATTATGAATACATTTTTGACAGTTCACGAATTTTAAAATGCTTTTAAGAGCATACAAATAGGGATACACAGATCTGTTTGATGAAGTGGTGCTTTCAAAATCATGCTTTAATAACTAAAGTCAATAGAAATAATGCTAAATGTGCATTTGAGTCTAAAATGTTATTCCCTAACAAAACATAAATAATGTCTAGTCGCTTTATATTTGATGATAGTCAATGTACATTTGATAAACATATTTTTTTGGTTAGTTTTTTTCATCCCAAAAAATAACAATGGCCCTATTAATACTTATTTACTCCTAAATCTAGCAATACTAAGACACATTAGCAGCAAATGTGGGAACACTATGTAGCTATAAATAAATAGTGCTGTATAAGGCCACCTTATCTAAAATGTAGCCAAATGTTTTGATCCTTATTCTTTGAAATTGTTTTCAAAACTCTTTCTAAAGCTTTTCTTGCACCTGAAGAAACTTGCAAAGCCACAACAGTGAGAAACAATAACAATAATCTCAACTTATTCTGCCATTTCCTGATACAGAGTGGGAAAATGTGAAAACAAAATCTTCCTCTGTAGTCTATAAATGGAGCAAAACAATGTAGATCAAATAATTCACACAACAAGCATTCAGGTGAAGGTGTTTTGCGAAAACAAGGTCCTTCACCTTCAAAGATTGCTAATGTTATTTTTAACCTGCGTGACCTTAAAGAGAAAACATTTGCGGTTTTCCACTCATTTGTTGTTATTGTACTACAACTGACACAAAATGACTTTTATAGAAAGCGTTTAGACCCACAAACACTCACCCACAACCTTGGAGCCAGCTTTCAATCTTTCCTGCAGAGCATCCTGTGGAAACAAAATAAAGACGCACATAGTGATCTGAGTCGTCTGTTTGAGAATGGGTGTGTGAGAGAGAAAAAGAGAGAGATAAAGAGGTGTAAATGAGCTTTCTGTTTTGGAAATAGCGTTTATCTGGTGGTGACCGTGTACTGTTCATGGTTTGTCTTTTATCTGTCACAGTAGCAGTTATAATACAGAGGCGCTAATTACAATTTTTCTCCATTGGTTTGACTCTTGTCTTGAAACAGAAATTACATTCTCAAAATTCTAAGATCATTTGGCAAAACAGTGTTACAGTTTAGCACAACACTATAGCTCACTTGCAAAAGCTTATACCTTTGCCAAAACAGTTCACTCATGTGTCAAAACTAAATTTTCTTCTCATTTAAACAGTCAGTGCCCCCAAAATGCTTCGTCCCTTTAGCATTGTGCAAGCCAAAATGTTTATATGTTTCATTATGGTAATGGACCACTAAAATATCCTTCATGTCCACTTTACAGTCTTAGCCCAGTCCTTCATTGACAATGGTTACTGTACTGTTTTGTCTAGCTAACAGAATACAATTGTGTATAAAACTGAAAAAAAGAAATAGGATTTTAGGGTAAGAGTAGCCTCCAAGGTTTGACGTCACACATTGCACTCATACTGCCAAGGAAATGATAACTCCTTTTTTATTGTAATGATCAGCCACACACAAACTAACTTCCATATATCAGAGAAAAAAGAATAAATAACTGTAATACATGGTAATCAAATGTTCCAAGGATTCACCTACTGTAAGGTATTCTTGGATAGTTTTGACAATTGAACAGACTATTGTGCATGGGGGGGGGGGGGGGGGGTTGTCATGCGCGTACTGAAAATGGTGTGAATAACGGCATTCTGATCAGCGGTGTTGTCGCGCGGCGACTACTGAAGGGCGGTAGGGGGGGAAGGGGGGTGTCGCGGGGGCACTTTCGTTCATTTTGTAAGGGCACTTTCTATCCAAGACTAAAAAGGGCATGTGCACTGCACAGGTTGAGCCCTATGTGTGCACGTGCCTGATGTTATGCCATATACAATGAAATGACGCTGACACATTTTTGAGAGAACAACCATTAGACTGAGAATTAACAATCAGTTTAGATCAACAAGATCTATTTACTTGGAAATTGTGCTAAATGTATCTGTACATAATCATTTGCAAATATGTACTTAGACATTTGCAATTTGATGAAATTAATGAGAAAATAAATTCTTTTGTAAACAATTGCCAAGTGGTTTAGAGTTTTGTCCATGTTGTTTTGAAAATGTAATTTCTGTTTCAAGAAATGAGCCAAACCAATAGAGAAAAACTGTAAGAAATAGCCTAAAGTAGCAGCAATGTAATTTTATTAACCTTCACACTCTGTTTTAAAAGGTATCTAGGCAAAGCAGTAGGTCAAGTCAAACCCTGTTAGATATAGCTTAGATCTAGAACTATAGAAGAGAACTATCGAGAACTATAGAAGGATAAATAGAGAATGGACAAACAAACAATAGAACAAACAAGCAGACAATAGAACAAATGAATGATAGAATAAACAAATGATAGATAGAACGTATGATAGAACGAACAATAGAATCAATGAACGATAGATAAAACCATGTAAGATGTAGGTTAGATAGAACGATAGATTGATAGGTTGAACGAAAGAGAACAAAGGAACAAACAACAGAACAAACAAATGATAGAACTAACGAACAATAAAATGAACAAATGATAGAACAAATGAAAGACAGATAGATCCTTGTAAGGTTTAGATTAGATAGAACATTGTAATTATTGATGATACAAACAACCGAATGGACAAACAAACGATTGAATGAACAAACAACAGAATGAATGAATAATAGACGGCACCCAGTAGGATGTAAATTAGATAGAACTATAGAATGATAAGTTGAACAAATGACAGAATAAAGGAACAAACAATAGGACAAACAAAATATATAATGAACCAATAATAAAATAAACAAATGATAGAACAAATGAAAGATAGATAGAATCCTGTAAGATTTGATAGAACAAATAATAGAACAAACAAACAAACAAACAAACAAACGATAGAATGAATAAAAGATAAAACAAACATGGACGATGGATAAAACAAACAATAGAATGAATGAGCTATATATAAAACCCTGTAGGATGTAGAATAGAACGATAGAATGACAGTATGAACGAATGACAGAATGAAGAAACAGACATTAGAACAAATAAACGATAGAATGAATGAACAATAAAATGAACAAATGATAGAACAAATGAAAGATCGATAGAACGAACAACAGATGAAACACTGTAGGATGTAGATTAGATGAAATGATAGATAGAACAAACAATAGAACGAACAACCAAATGATAGAATGAACGAACGATAGAACAAACAAGCAATAGATTGAATTGATGAACAATAGATGGAACTGTGTAGGATGTAGATTACATTGAACAATAGAATGATATATAGAACAAATGACCGACCAAAAAATATAGATATAGATAGCTAGATAGACAGACAGAAAGCCATTTGACAATCTTGTTCATAAACAACAGTGTTAGGACTCATCATCTTGATGACACCGACACTTTCATTGACATCAATACTTGCTTTTGAGGAATAAGCTGTCCATTTTGAACAAGTGACGCGCTTTTGCAGGTTATCAACTAGGTGTTGGAGTTTGTACTAATTGTTTTCAGAAATGCATTAACTGTTGTCCAAATTTAAATAGTGTTGTGAGAACTGCACCAAAGCCACTGAGAAAAACTCTATTTACAAAAAACATAAACGTCCTTTGAGTATAGCTGTGCACAACTGTAAACAATATTGCAGTACATATTGGAATTGAACCTACAACATACAAAGGTAAAATCATAAATTAATTTAAATCATTCATGAAATTGTTAAATTTAGAAGACATTTTTTCAGGAAAAAAAATATTTAAAGATGTTTATAAAAATTGACATTTGACAACTAGTGTAACATTTTTGTATGTAATGACTCAAGTAATGAAATCAGTACTATTAGTTTTATATCCCTACTGAAAAAAACAGGCTGAGAGATGACCAGGCAAAACCAGCTATGTCCAGCTTAAAACAAGCTGGTCAAGCTGGTTTTAGCTGGATTTAGCTGGTCAGTTTCCAGCCTGACCAGCTAAGACCAGGCTGGAAATGGCTGGAAACCAGCCTGGAAATTGCCAAAACCCCTCTAAAACCAGCCTGGTCGACCAGCTAAAACCAGCCAACCAGCCTAGGCTGGTTTAAGCTGGATTTTTCTGCAGGGATGGAATGACTATTCAGCATTTACCAGTTTAGTTCATTCTGACTGGCATGACATAAGCAAATGATAATGTTATAAAACAGCAGAGAGCTGTATGAAAGCAATTGATGTATGTCCAAAAGCAATAGCAATCTGTTGGAAGGAATAAGAAACTGCTGCAATGATCTGCACAAATGACAAACTGTTTTGAGAAATGCATTAACTGTTGTGCAAATGTAAATAGTGCTGTGAGAAATGCACCAAAGTGACTGAGAAAAACTGTCACACATTGCTAGCATGGTTAGTATAATATACCATGTTGTAGATAGATAGATAGATAGATAGATAGATAGACAGACAGACAGACAGACAGACAGACAGACAGACAGACAGACAGACAGACAGACAGACAGACAGACAGACAGACAGACAGACAGACAGACAGACAGACAGACAGATAGATAGATAGATAGATAGATAGATAGATAGATAGATAGATAGATAGATAGATAGATAGATAGATAGATAGATAGATAGATAGATAGATAGATAGATAGATGGATAGATGGATAGATAAATAAATAGTCTTGTGTATAATGTCAGCTTCAAATCAACAAATACATCAATATAATTCTAATAAATTATTAATACTAAGAGTCTTTTTAATTTAAATAAGGCTTTAAAAGTCGCTATGAACTCTAACCTTTAACAGCAATGCCTAAATGAACTGCGCTATGTAACTTAGATCACTTGCTTAGGAGGAAATAAGATATGCGGGTTGTTTCCATATTATTGCCCTATTGACACAGCTGAATGTTAAACATTAACTGATGCTCACCATCCACAAAGACGTCATCTTGAAGAGAGAAGTGGGGCTGATCGTCTGCTGTTGGGCTGCGGTGTTCTCCATCTCTGACGGTAAACTTGCGGCGGCTGCTGAGCGCCCACGCCTGCCGTCTCTCAATCTTAGAAGGACTCTCCATCTCTGTGATCTCCTATCATGAGAAAGCACTCTTTATAGATTAAACGAAAACTACAGACTAACTGAAAAGCACTTCCATGAGTAAAAAAGAAAGGGCATGACAGACTACATTTTAAGTAGAAACAAATGGGCTATTTGCACACAGACTTTTCATTTCAGCCAGGCAGTCTTTTCCATTATAAAAATGCAACGTTTAAGGTATGATTTCTTTAAAAATCAGTGATCTTTACTGACGGATAAATAAATAATATTTAGTGGGTTTCAGACCAGACAAAAAGCACTGCATTGTTACATTTCCCCTGCCATGTCTTTAAAATATGACAACTTGTTTTACTCCAGTATTTTCAATGGAGTTTCTGTGCTCGCCTGCTGATCCTGACGGCGCTAGCTGTTACAGGTTTTACGCTTGAACAACTAAATGAATGCTTTAGTCTATTTAACTGAATGTATTGTAATTACATTACAACATTGATGCTGTAAAAGTAACCTCTGAAATTGAAAGTAGTCACATTAGGCTTTCACCTGAAGTTTATCATTGGCTGAAAAACACTAGCTGTGCATATACTGTAGTCGCAAATGCAAAGTGTGGCAAATAAGGCATTACACATTTTGCATAAACCCAAAGGTAAACAAATTTGTATTGTTTTTTTCACAGTTTCCTGGTTTAAAAGCAGCAGTTGTTATTGTTTATAATACATTAGTGCTTATTTGAAGAGCTTTAATCTTCTGATTCATACCAATATTGTCAATAAAAGAAGTACAAAAGCCAAAAGTGATAGTTTACTTTCAGGTCTGAACATATTTTTTATATAGTGACAAAATGTAGCGCCTCATACATGGAATTGCTTAGGGCACCTAAATCTCTAAGTCTGCCCCTGCATATCGCAATATTAATCGCAGCAAAATAAAATATCGCAATGTCAGATTTTTCCAATTGTTACGTTCCTTCCCCTTTTTGGTCTAGGGTTGAGGAAGGAAAATAACAAAGAAAATTACAATTTAGAATTTGAGAAATAGAAGACTAAATTAATGAATTGTGTATAAATTAAATAAACAAATATTGAGGGAACACATCAATCCTGCCTCAGAAATGTGAAACAACCACAAGCGTAAACGTTAATTATTTTATTATTTGGTTCTCAATCAATAAACATTAAATGAAGCATAAATCTTCAGGAGAAGGATTAACCAAAACAACAAACAAAACAGGTCTAGCTCAGGAGGAGTACTAAATAACCTAATTTCAGGTAAAAGAAAAGAAATGAAACAACAAAGGCTTTCCTCGACTCCCTTACTATGAATAAACACAGTCAAACAAGTACAAAAATAAAAATGGCACCCTCTCCCTACAGCTTCAATTTGTAAATCAAAAAGTCAGACAAAGAAACAATACAATTACCTTTTACATACCACGCAGCCCTAGTTTGGAAGTTTAACATTAATACACTGATAACTTCATAAGGGTGCAGTTGTTCAAATAACACATTATTTTTATTCTATCATACTAAGAAATTGTAAGTTTTTTCAAGTGCATTGCTGTTAAATCTCTATGGACAGAAAGATGCATGAATGAACCAAATATGAAACTATGCTAGCCTCTTTTTTTTTCAATTTCCTGGTTTAAAAGCAGCAGTTGTTAATGTTTATAATACCTTAGTGCTTATTTGATTAGCTATAATCTTCTGATTTATACCAGTATTGTCAAAAAAAGAATTACAAAAGCCATAAGTGATAGTTTACTTTCAGATCTGAACATATTTTTTATATAGTGACCAGAAACTTTTAATATAGTCACAACATGAGGCTGGTGGCCAGTGTCTTCATTCATGCAAGTAATTTAAGTGGTCGACTGTATTTGAAAACTATATTACTTTTAATTTTAACGTGAAATAAATAGATCAATCCATTTATATACAATTTATTTTTTTACAAATACTTAACAATAAAGGTTGAACAATGAACTACATGCTTCACATGAAATCATGAGATAAAGATGACCCATTTCTGAATACCTTTTTAAAAAGTGGAATTACAATAGACTTTTCTTTACAGACCTCTTCTTCATGAAAGATAAAAGTCAAGTTATGTCAAAAGAGGGATTTCTATTCTAAAATAAGAGTTTTGGTAAACAGTAATCCCAAAGACAAAACTACATTCATTATATATTTAATAATATTTATATGATATTTTCTTTTTAATGTATTTTACATCATATAACGGATTGTTGTTAATAATTTTTTTGTATTTTGATTGGTATAAAAATCAGATTTTGATCTCAAAATAAAGTATCTTCTGTCTGTACATGGTTGTGGGGACGAGTTTTGTAGTGTTTGGAATAGGGCTGCACAGTATATTGTTTTATCATCGATATTGTAATGTGTGCATTCACAATAGTCACATCACAGCATCTGCAATGTGAAGTTGGGATTATTGTTGTTCAGCAATAAAGAATGTACAGTGTTTACATTTTACATTACATTTGATTATTATAGGGACAGGACAAAATAGTGATAAGCACGAGATGGCGCTTTTCGCAATGGCAGATTGAACATGTCTCAATGCTGCAATTCTAAGAAACGTGTGCTGTTAATAAAAGCATTTTACCCTCTTTATTTACAAATATTATGATATATTGTGGATGTTTTCTTATGATTTATCGCTGATATCGTGATCTGTCATTATCGAGGGCAAAATAACATTTCGTATTACTTTTATCTTTGCTCTGTCTTTTTTTATCTATTCTTGCAATTTCTTTAATTCACTCATCTACAAGAGTATTCCAATCAATGTTAACGGTTTTATTTCAAATAGAGCTATTCAAGTCATCTGCTGAAATTGTATTCGTATCGACAGGGGTGGACTTAACTAATTGGAGAAGTAAGCAACCACTTAAGGCCCAAGGGAATTAGGGGGCCCCAACCAATGCCAAAAAGTCTATATTAAACATATGATTTTTTTAAAAATATTTGTTCTATTATATGTTGTAATATCTATAACTATGATTAAAATACAGATAAATAGTATTGTGTATTTTCAATAATATTTATCAGTGTATTTTTCAGTGTATTTTCTTTATTCTAAATATAAAGAAAATACACTGCAAAAATATTTTGCTTACTTAGATTTTTTTGTCTCGTCTCTAGTGCAAATATCTAAAAATTCTTAAATCAAGAAGCATTTTCTAGACAAGTAAAAAATATTGTATTGTTTTAAGAAATAATGTCAAAATTACAGTGAGTTTTTCCTTAAAAGAAGCCAAATGATCTTGTTTTTCCTTCTTGCATAAGATATTTTGCTTAGCCAATTGGCAGATTATTTAGCTAGTTTTAATAAAAAACTCACTTAATTTTGGGCTATTACTTATTTTAAAAAGACTATAAGTTTTGCTTGTCTAAAAAATGCGTCTTGATTTAGGACTTTAAATATATAAACTGGAAGCAATACAAAAAAATCTAAGAAACCTTTTTTTTGCAGTGTACACCCCTGCTCTTATAAAACATACCAAATTGCTTTTTAAAAGCTTTCCATGTTCCATCAGTGAAGACTTCTTTAAGACTAAACCCCAAATCCAAGTGACAGAGCCTCAAACCCTGCTGTATACTCTCTAATTTACATGATAGCACAGAGCTTGCGTTATCAAGGAAATCACGCGCACGCATCATTTACACAATCGACAAAAGCTACAACACATCCACCATACTGTACCACTTTCCCTTAAAAACGCCGTACACTATTTGCAGATACGAGTAGTTAAAAACGACGGACACAGAAACAACACGGAAGTTTAAAACCATTCAAGAACCTCTTCTGATGAACCAATTGGCATCAAACATACCTTAAAAGTGCCTCGAACCGTCCATTCTCCCGGCAACGGCGTAATTCACCGCTCCTGCGTCCAGCATCCCCCTCACAGAATTACATCTTAAAGAAGATCCACCGCATAACTAAAAATAATACCTGCGAGATGGAGAGCCATGGTCGATTGTTGAACCGCCGACGCAAACTTTGGTGACGCGCTGTAACTGACGGAAGCGGTAGGAGGAAGATGCGCTGCTGTGAAGAGCAGAATGACAACTTGTTGTGGCCACACACACACGCACACACTGGTGAGGGAAACACGGTTACACACCATTTACAGAGCAAGTTTTGCTGACTGAAGCGTAACAGACTTGTTGAAGATAAAACCATTCAGGCGTAAAGGCACACTGTCTGCTACAGCTACACTGCAAAACATGATTTTCTTACTTAGTGTTTTCCAGCACACATAACACTATAGATTCTTACATCGAGGCACATTTATCCTACTTGAAAGGTAAACTTACATTAGATATTAGCCTAAGTGTTTTACTGAAAAAATAAAATGGCTAAACATGATAATTATTTGAAAGTGTTGTCAGAATGATGAATAAAGGGAAAACTGTCCTCATGTTGAACACACACAAAAAAAAACATTCTGTAAGGGATAGTTCAACCAGTTTAAACCTTTACAAGTTGCTTTCTTGTCTTGATAACAAAAGAAGATATATTAAAAGAAGATTCACTGAAAAAGTTAACAAAAGAAGATATACTGTATATTATTCTACAGTAGAATATGGAATTCAATGAGTGCAGTAGCAGTGCGATGTGGCTGCATATCGGCTCTGGTGGGAGGTATGCGTTGGCTTGAGGTAGCAGGCTGAGTGCCTTAGTGTCCCCCCAGTGACAATATACAGCCATAATCACACTGCTATGAGTGTGATATAACAGTTTGACATCATAATCGCGTATATAAAAAGAAAATCAAACACAGAGAGTCTCAAAAACCTTTTTTAAGAGGGACTACTTTCTGCCGTTCATTCACATTTGCAGCTGACGTAAGAACAGCAGAAACTGTTGTTACTTCACAAACGTCACTTTAGAGTTAGTATTTGATTGATTCTCTAGCGTAATGTCTAAAGTGATGACAAAACAGGTGATTTTGCTCCGTTTTAAGATTATAAGGCTGAACATCATGAAATCTCATCAGTCTACAGAGATTTCCCAGTATTTCTCTGATGTAATTAGGAGATCACTATAATTAATTCTAAAAAAAATTTTTAAAAAGCCAAAGCAAACACTACCAGAGTACTATGGTATAAATACAGCACTACAAAATACAAAAGAGAGATCGACTTGGAATGTCACTTACCTGTTCTTCAATGATTTGTTTAGTCGTGGTTTGAAACGTACGCTGAAAAAAAGCAGTTTTCTCCTCTAAGGACTTAGCAGTCTCTGTCCCCATCTTGTGGCAGAACATCAACTGTCTTTGCTCTGCTCAGTATGACAAGCTGATGGCTGCCAATGCACTGAATCTCTGAAATTATAATATTTAAAATAGGCACTGTCCTTATAAATAAACTTGCAATCTAAACAACTACATTCTCGCCTAAAAAAGCCTCAAAAGTACATTATGTTGTCCAACAGCAGCAATATTTGTCAAACTGTAGCCCTCTGCTTGCCACTCGTGTGGGGGGAGTAATACACAAGGGTGAAGAGGCTGTTTGAGTGTTGATTTAACTTAAATATTTCACGGCTATCAGCCAATCAGATTTGAGAACCAGATAGAGCTGTTGTATAATAAAAAAATAAATAAGTAAATAATAATAATAATAATAATAATAATGACAATAATAAATGGGTCAGTATTTATATATCAGTAACTCAGTCTAGGCCTACTACTAATATATCATATATATTTGTTATTAGATCAAAAATGTTTGCTGTCAGTATGAAATTAATTTACAAAAGATATTTTTTATATCGAAAACACATTATATTCAAGTACGTTTTATTGTTGCCATTAAACATAGTGTAAATAAAATGTCAAAATACGAGTGAAAATACATTCCATTTTCAGTCAGTGTATTATATCAACAAATGATTATTGTTATGAATATCTTATATTTGCCATAAAACCTATTGTTACACAACATATTTTAGCATTTTTGTAAACAAATGATAATAAAGTAGGCAATCTGATATGTCTTAATGCTTGAAAGCCCCCTTCCGTTTTTTACCCTTATGTGTGACATTGGTTTCCTTTACTGTAAATGAAGTGTTACAACTCTAGATATATCTGTGAAACTACCAGCAAACTGCAACAGATGCATACACTCATACGCCTAGAAAGAGTACAACCCACAATTCTCACTTAACCCGGTAAAATCTTACCCAGGGCCGGATTAACCAATGGGCCTTATGGGCACAGGCCCAGGGGCCCGTGCGCACTAGGGGCCCCTGCAAGGGGGGAGAAAAAAAAAGACAATTTTGGTGTGTCTTTTTAGGCTAATTGCAAATAGCGCATCTAGTTGGACTAAGCTATTCAGAGTTTACGCCCATCGATGCCTGATTGATAGAGACAACATGAGTAAAGAGCCGTTAAACAATACAGCAGCAGTGGCGCACCTTGTAAGGCACGTGGCATCATCTTTTGACGCGATTAATCAAATCATCGGTTCGAATCCACCATCAGCTGAACTCGTGCTACTTTTTTTCTCCCCATTACATATCAGATTGGAAATATATTTATTTTTAACAGGAAAGAAATATTTTTAAAAAATAATGCAAATGTGATATAAAGTCACAAGTGTCTCGTGGGTATTTAAAATGTTTAGCCTTATTATAGGCGCCAGCCGCGCCTCCCTCTCTTCAAAAACTATATTGCTCAGACACTTCCTCTGAGCTAAAAATCGCGATCACATATTAATATTAATATTATATTTAAATTGCCTTTTTTTTCTTTAACTAAACAGAATGCTGTAATTGGTCAAGTGCGGAAACGTCAGTTTTGTAATAACCCGCACTAAACTGAGCAGACTTTAGTGTAACGTTTTATCTGTCATAGATCAAAAATGAGTGGACAAGTGGATTTAGCAAACGCGACAGAAAGAGGAGAGGAGGCATCTTTATTGAGGCATTTTCCATAAACATCATCTTTAAACAGACCCGTGATCAGGAGAATGAGGGTACAGAACAAGACGTTATGGTAACTTTAAATGAGAAGCTAGCATTAACCAGGCGGAGGAGGCTAACGGCAGCGCAGCGCGGACTGGATTCATCGTGTGAGAGACAGACAGAAGAGGAGAGAGAGAGGGAGATAGAGAGAGAAAGGCCCAGAAGAGGAGAGAGACGGGAGAGAAGAGGTATAGTGTGTGTGATTTCGGATACTTTTAGGTTTATAATCAAGTCTTCATCACGAGAAGAGTAGAGAAAATACAGGGAGAGGAGGAGAGAGACAGTAAATCAGTGTTTGTATTATGAAAGACTCAGATTTATAGAACTCAGATTCATAGAACTGGATTGGAGAAGCATTGTGCGTTATATGCCATGGCGATAATATGCTTTATAAGTTTGTAAAAGCAATACATTAAGATACCCTTAAAAAAAAAAAAAAAAAAAAAATATATATATATATATATATATATACATATATATATATATATATATATATATATATATATATATATATACATATATATATATATATATATATATATATATATATATATATATATATAGTTTTATAGTTTTATTAGTATTTTTTTAATGCTTTGAAAAATAATTTAAATCTTTGTAGACTATAAATGCATATGTACTATATATCATTTATTTAAATATGTGGGCAACAAATTATAGATTCATTTTATTTAAAAATTATTAAATTATTCTTATTTTTTAAATTTAACTATAGGGGTGCGGCCAGGTGGGGGCCTTACAAGATAATGTGCCCAGGGGCCCCTGAGTTCTTAATCCGGGCCTGATCTTACCACTTCTTAGAACAAAACTTTGAATTTAGAGTATAGGCAACATGATAGAAACTGACCTAAAAAGCAAGATGCATCAGTGTAGATGTGCTCTCTGTATACAGTATGAAACTACCTTGGATGTCTTTAAAACACAGGGGTGTTGACATCCATACTTCAGAAGAGTGGAGTGGGAAGAGGAGGACAGGAATGAGAGGAAGAGGTAAAGCACAGAGCGGAGGAGGAGAGGGATGACGGAAAAGAAACAGATGTAGGATGAGGAGTGAGTTAAAATGAGAGCGAGAGAGAGCACTGGGCATTGAGGAGAGGTGAGCAGAAAAGAAGAGGAGGAAACTGAAGAGGCTCAGATAATGAGACCAGAACTGCTCTAATGAGCATCTTATGAAACATCATTCTCAGTCTCTATATGAGGGAGACGCTAAATAGAGTTTGGCCTTATGTCAGCATATGCATACTAGACTCATTTATTTAATACAAAAATTGAGTGAAATATTGTCGTGATTCATACATTAATTTTCCTTCGGCTTAGTCCCTTTATTAACCAGGGGTCGCCACAGTGGAATGAACCGCAAACTTATCCAGCATATGTTTTTCACACCAGATGCCCTTCCAGCTGCAACCCAGCACTGGAAGACATCCATACACCAGAGTATATACAGGCATTAGAGAGTGAAATTCAATACCTTTTTTTAAGACTCTTTCAATACATTTTAAGACCTTATAACCATTTTAGGTTTCAACCAGAAACACTGTTGAGTTTTTAAATTACAGTATGCTTGGTGCCTATAAAACAAGCCTTGGTTAGTGCAGTAAACAAAGCAGCATGATGTCAAATCTAGCAGAACTACACAGCATCCTGATATTTGCAGATTTAATTCAGGCAAACTTTAGAATACAGCCATGCATTGCATAATCAAAATTTATATAAAATGTAATACCTTGCAAAATAGCATTTAAGACTGTTTAATAGTTTTTAAGGGGCCTAAACTTCTCTACATTAATTGATCAACAAGACCCTGCGGACACCCTGATACACACTCGTTCAAAAACTGGGGGACTGGGGGGAACCGGAGCACTCGGGGGAAACCCACACCAACATGGGAAGAACATGCAAACTCCACACAGAATTGTCAACTGACCCAGCTGAGGCTCGAACCAACAACCTTCTTACTTTGAGGCAAAAGTGCTAACCACTGAGCCACCGTGTAACCCTAAAATTGTAGTGATGATTAAATAAATGACAAGATAAAATTATTGGGTCACACTTTACAATAAGGTTCATTAGTTAATGTTAAGTAATGCATTTACTAACATGAACAAACATTGAACAATACATTTACTACAGTACATATTCATGTTAATAAATGTTAGTTAATGAAAATACAGTAGTTCATTGTTAGTTCATGTTAACTCATGGTGCATTAACTAATGTTAACAAGCATGGACTTGAATGTTAATAATGCATTAGTAAATGTTCAATTATGATT